GCCCTCCACTTCCAGTTGGGGGGGGGTCGGGGAACATCGAGACAACACACATATGGAACCCGTACCCCCCCCCCACCCGAAGTTCGGGTCTTCGGGTTGGGTTGGGGTGGTCTGGTAGGTAGTCAACAATGGGCAAGACCACAGCCCAGGTCACCGCCTGGCGCGGCGCCTGACCTGACGCTCCTCCCGACGCCGTCGCATACGCCCTCCCCCGACGCCCCTCCCAGCACCCTTCCCGACGCCACGCAGACAGCATCGACTCCAGTGCCGAAGACAGCATCGACTCCAGCAGATGGGCCTACATCGCCGCCTCGCACCGATGCCACCATCGACCCCAACATCGACGCCAGCAACGACGCCAGCCCTGACTCCACCATCGACGAGCGCATCGAGGATAGCATCGACTCCAACATCGGAACCCGTATCAACTCCTGCATTGTCACCACTACCAACCCCAGCATCGAAATCAGCCCTCACCACATCATCGGCTCCAGCATCGACGCAAGCGTCGACGTCAACATCGAAGCGCGCACCGCCAGTACTGACGTGTCGTCGGTGTCAGCATCGAAGGCACCATCGACTGAAGCACCGGATCCAGCATCGACGCCAGCGTCGACACCGCATCGACACTAGCACCGAAGCCATCACTGACGCCATCACCGACGTCAGCATAGTCACCAGCAACGACGTCAGCAACAGCACCATCACCGAAGACATTAATGATTCCAGCACCGCAGCCATTACCATAGCGAGCGTCGACGCCAGTGCCGACCCCAGCATCGACACAAGTACCGACCTGATCGACCTGCAGCATCAGAGCTAGCGCCAACCCCAGCGTCAACGCCATCATCGAAGGCGGAACTGACCCCAGCACTGGAGTCAGCATTCAGGTCATTACGAACGCCAGCATCGACGCCAGCACCCATGCCATCGCCGACCTCCACATCGACCCTCACGGCAGCCACGAAACCCGCCCTCCTACGTGCCCCTCGACAGACACCACTACTACGACGGGCGTGCTTCGCCGACCATCCGCGCGACGTTACGCCCGACGTTCCCCCCGACGCCCTGCCTAGAGCCCTCCCATCGATGCTGGCGGTGCGGCGCTGGGGGGGGGGGGGGCGCACTCTGTGTCCCCGAGCGCGGTGCTCGGCGGCGCCCGACGGGGCCCCGCGGGGGCCCGAGGGAACCTGGCGGGGACCCCACGGGAGCCCCGCGGCAGCCCCGCGGAGCCCCACGGGGGCCCAACGGAACCCCACGCCGGCGCCAGCGCACGAGCCTGCATGGACCTCCGCACCGACGCCAGCATCGACTCCAGCAGCCACGCCAGCACCGCCGCCATCGTCGACGCGCGCACCGCGGAAGCGATCGACTGCAGCACCAGAACCCGCATCCACGCCAGCATCGACACCACCGCCGACCCCGGCAGCAAAGCCAGGATCGACGGCAGCAACGACAGCAGTCTCAACGCCAGCATCGATACCGACACCGACGCCAGCATTGTCCGAAGTGCTGACCTCAGCACTGGCGCCAGCACCCGCGCCAGCATCGAGGATATCTTCGACTCCGGCATCGGCACAAACGCCAACGTCAGCACCGACGCGAGCATTGCGCCCAGCACCAACACCAGCTGTCACGACAGCACCGAAAGAGGCATCGGAAACCCCATCGAATACAGCATCAGCACCAGCAGCGACGTTAGCATCGACATTGGCATCGACTCTAGCACCGAAGCCAGCATCGACGCCAGCGCCGACGTCAGCATCGACGCCATCACCGACGCCAGCCTCGGCACTAGCACCGAAATCAGCACTGACCCGAATACCGCAGCCAGCAACGACGCCAGCACCGACGCCAGCACGGACGCCAGCACCGACCCCAATGTTGACCCCAGCTCCGATGCCATCACCAACTGCGACATCAACACCCTCATCCAAGATGACACGGCCGCCAGCACCAGGGCCATCATCTACGTCATCAACGTTACCACACACACCAGCATCGACTCCAGCAGTGACGCCAGCACGGCTGCCGATTTGGGCGCGACTGCTTGCTCCCGACGCTCGGCATCGACGGACAAACAGTACGGCCAGGGGCCGCGGACAGCAGCGCCACGACGGCGCCCCATCCTGCCCCCACCAGGCGCCCCACCCAGCGACCAGCAGCAGCACCACCTTGAGGTGAACGGCCCGGGCTGCGACCAGCAACCGCCGCTCGCACTCCGCCCGCCCGCCCTCGCCCTCGGGCCGCGCGCCCCCCGGCCCCCCCCCCCAAGGCGAGGACGAGGCCGCCCACGCAGTGACGGGCCTCAGGGCGGCACGGGGGCTGCGCGGCATGCCCCCGGCAGCGCCGTGCCGCCCACCCCAAGGCAACCCTGGCGTCCCCGTCGACCCCAAGGCCTGTTCTCGCTCGGCTATGCTATGCCATGCTATGCCATGCTATGCCATGCTGTGCCATGCTATCGCCATTCAAGCATGTGTCACGCCCTGTCACGCCCACAACGTCTACCACCCTCTTCCCCCTACCTCCCTCTCACGACCCGCCTCACGACCACCTCAGGGGCTACGGGGGCCACCGGCACGCCCTCGGCCACCTGGGCTGCCGGGGGGCCACCGGCACGCCGTCGACGAGCGCGGGCGCGCGGGAGCGCGCTTGTCTCGCCGTCGCCGCCCCCTCTCGTCGAGGGCGAGCGCGCCGCCCTCCCGCGGGGGGAGCCCCCTCGGGAGGGACCCTGGCGCGAGCTGGGCCCGCGGTGGCGGCGGGGGCCCCCGAGGACCAGCTGCCCCCCTGGGGCCGCCCGTGCAGCACGTGCACGCACGCCGCCCTCCCCCCCCCCCCCCCCCCTCGGAGGCTTCCGAAGCCCCTCGGGGGTGGGTGCGCACGCGCGCGCGTGCGTGGGCGCGCGCGCGTGCGCGCGGGGTGCCGCGCGCGCACGCGCGCGGGGTGCCACGAGCACGCGCGCCGACGGAGCTGTGCCGGCCACCGCCAGCCCGCAGGTCTCTCTCTCTCTCTCTCTCTCTCTTCGTCCCTCTCGCCCCCATGCGGTCGGTCCGTCCATTCGTGCCCCCTCGCCCTCTTCTTTCGGGCCCCCCGTCCGTCCCGCCCTTGTCCCTCGCCAGCCCCGCCGACGGAGATCGGACCGTTTTCGGAATGGCCCCTTCTGGCACACCGTTCGGTGCCGCCAGGAGGGGGCCCTTGTCGCGTCCGTGGGACTCTCAGACCTTGAGGCTTCCAGGCTTTCGGGACCCTGAGGTCGGACGTTGCGACCTGAGGTCGGACGTTGCGAACAAGTGCAGCATGTCATAACATCTTGCCTGGACCTCCAGGCCCCATCTTTCTGCGTCTTGTTTCGAGGAGGAGGAGGAGGAGGAGGAGGAGGAGGAGGAGGACATCCGAGCTACGTGCGAGGAGGAGGAGGAGGAGGAGGAGGACGAGGAGGAGAAGCAGGAGGAGGAGGACGACGAGGACGAGGACGATGACGAGTAGGAGGAGGAGGAATCGGAATCGGAACAGTTGCGAAGCAACATCCTCATATAAAATCCACCGCTCAAGCCATTGTTCGAGACAGGCTACTTGCACTACCCAACAGGCACGATACAAACAGCATGTGGGAGTGAAGAGCCCTCCGCTGCACGAACATTCCATTCGACACTGCTCTACACTGCGCGCCGACTCCGCGGCACGACGAGGAAGTCCGAGAACAGACCCAGACAGGAGCAATCCCCGCCCGCGACCCCAGGAGAAAGAGAGGGAAAGAAGGAAGAAGAAGAGAGGAGAGGGAGGAAAGGGAAGGGGTCGCGGCCAGGCATAGCCCCACCCGCGGGAACAGAACGCCCAGCGAGGCCCAGGGGCCCCCCGAGACACCCCGCAAGCCCCAGACGAGACGGCCCCAGACCCACCACCAGAAAGTCGAGCCGCGCCCGAACGCCGCGGGGCTGCCCTTCACGACTGCGGGCACTCACCTGTGGGTGGCGATGCCGACGATGCACTCGGGAACGCTCCGTTGTCGCCTATGGCTGCCCAGTTGATCTGTGGGCCAGTCGGCACGGCGCCTCTCTGTGCTCCAGCGCCTCGAAGGAGGTCAGCATCCCGAAACAGCCGTGCTCGGGTTTCGCTCCTCTCCCAAGGCGCCGCAGCTGCGATTCCCCCTGTCCTCGACCGTCGACTCCTGGAACGGCGGGCTGAACGGGACGAACTCTGACGCCGAGCTGCTGAGGGGTGTGGGCGCCGCCACCTGCGCTGCCGCCATCGCGGCCTCTGCGGCGGCGAACTTCTCAGCTGACAGCTCCGCTGCACAGGCTTCAACCTCGGACGAGCTGGTGATCAGAGTGCCTCCAGCCTCGGCCTCGGCATCAGCTTCAGCCCTCTGGGAGGTGTCCTCGCGCGACATTGTGAATAACAAGTCTCCATCCTCCGCCACGGCTGCAACCGTGGGGCCCTCGGCTTCGTCGGCATGTGCTCCGCACCGATCGCCAGCCTGCGCCACGAGAAGCGCGTCCCGGAGGGCGGCCCCCAGCCGCGTGGGGCGGCAGCCGCGGTGCTCCATGCCCCTGAAGGCGCGCAGCAAAGCCTGAACGGCCCGAGCCTGCGCGCGGCCCGCCTGGGCACGCCGCTCGGCAGCCGTCCGGCGAGGGCGCTGCGGGCGCCCCTCCGTCGGGCACCATGGCGGCGCCACCATTCCGCGGCCCGGGGGGTGGAGACGAGGAGAGCGGACGAGAGGACGGGCGAGGAGGGCAGCGGCCCAGGGGTCGCCTGGCGCGGGCTCGCTGACCCCGCCCAGGCGACGGCCAGATCCGAGCTGGCGCTTGACGAGGAGGAGGAGGAGGAGGAGGAGGAGGAGGAGGACGAGGACGAGGACGAGGAGGAGGAGGAGGAGGAGCAGGAGGAGGAGGAGGAGGAGCAGGAGGAGGACGAGGACGAGGAGGAGGAGGAGGGCAAGGAGCAGGAGGAGGACGACGAGGAGGACTGAGGAGGAAGGCAAGGACGAGCCTCTGGGCCAGGCCGCCGCCCTGGAGGCCGGGCTCCGCGAGGGCGCGGGCCGGGCGCAGCAGCTGGAGCAGCGGCTGGCCGGCCTGCAGCAGCAGCTGCAGAGGTGCGAGCAGGCCTCGGTGGCACCTCGTGGGAGCCTCCCATCCCATCTTGTCGGCTCTTGCGAGTCGAGCGCCGAATCGACGCTGAATTGACGCTACATCGACGCTAAGTCGACGCTAGCCGACACCAGATCGGCGCTATCTCATCCAATCCCAGACGCTCATCGACGCTAACCGACGCTGAAGACAGCATCAAGAGGGCATAACTCAAGCAGGGACCGACCGTCCCGGCATTCCTATAGTCCTACCACGAAATGTTCTGAACCCAAAGGTGTTTTTATGTATTGCGAAAAAAACGTAAAACCATGTTTTTTTATAACAGCCTCTTGATGTGAGGAAGCAAGACAGGCTCCGCCAGGCATGTTCTAAGAACATTTCGTGGAAACCACAAAAGGTTCTTATACTACTGTTTGGCAGGGCTATAGGCGAGCCAGGACGCTTCGCCACTGCTTGAGTTATGCCCTCTTGCTGTTGTCTTTGGCGTCGGTTAGCGTCGACGAGCGTCTGGGATTGGATGCGATAGCGCCGATCTGGCGTCGGCTAGCGTCGATATAGCGTCGATGTAGCGTCTTTCAGCGTCGATTCGGCGCGCTATTCGCAAGAGCCGACAAGATGGGGATGGGAGGCTCCCATGAGGTGCCACCGAAAGCAGGCCGCGGAGCAGCGGGCCGCGTCCGCCGAGCGGATCGAGAGAGCGGAGCGAGCCTTGCAGGAGGTTCCAGTCAGAGGAGGAAGAGGTCCATACCGCTGCCCTCGCCACGTTTTCGCCTTCTTGGGGCCTGCTCGGAGGCCCTCATTGCCACCTTCGGATTCGCCTCGAGATTCTGGTCCGAGCGCTCCCCAGGAGAGGTCCGTGGAGTAGCGGTGTCGGTACCTGTTGGTTTCCACAGGTCTAGGTTTCCCAGATGGGGTCCGAGCACATTCAACCCGCAAAGTAGGGATGAGCAATGTCCAAGGTTGTCCTTGCATCCTGGCCCCTTCGGCCCATCCTTGGCGACTTTCGCTGGCCAGTCCCGTTCGACAACGCCAACATGGCCTTCCAAGGCCCTTGGATCCTTACCGCGCGTCCTTTTTTATACTTGTTGACTGTAGATGTGGTCGGAGGATCGCGACGCATCGCCGATGCATCACCGATGCGGCTCGATGCGGAGCCTGATTTTCCCCTGCTGGTGTCGGTGATGCACCGCCGACGTCGCCGACGCATCGCCGACGCATCGCCGATGCCTCGGCCATGCATCGGCAATGCGGCGTAGCCCTCCGACACCATCGACTCGGACCCCGCCTAGGAGGCCTCTGGAGGTGCAGCTGCGCGTGGGGGAGCTGTCCCAGGCTCGAGGAAGAAGCAACCGCATCATAAGAATAATAGTAATAACAATGATAATGATAATAATAATAATAATAGTAATAATAATACTAATAATAATAATCATAATAATAATAATACTAATAATAATAAGAATAATAATAATAAGAATAATAATGATGATAATAAGTTGTCGGAGGTCCGCGCGGACGTCTCGGATCGACGCGGGCCCCCCCCTGCAGCGCCTCCAGCGCCGCCCCTGGCGCGCTCCGCGCGCCAGGCATGGGGCGTCCAGCGCAGATCCAAGGAATCCGCGCGGACCTCCGAGAGTGTCAGTTTGTGCAGTTGAGCGTTCCTCCACAGGCGCAGTCCCTGCAGGAGACAGGGTGGCGCCAGCTGTACACCGGGCGCGAGCTGAGCAGTGTTTGGGCGATTCCGTGGGCCGCTTTCCTTTCGGCGCTCGTTCTGCACCAGAGGTGGGGCGAAGGTTCTGTTCTGCAGCGGAGGCGGGGCGAAACCAGAACGAGGGGAGGCGACTACACACAACGCATGCGGAGCGAAAACACGCCGCTCATGTCGAGCCCCCACATTGTTCCACTGCACCGACCTTGGGCCCAGCATCGATCGGCGCCTGTGCTCTCCTCGCCACGCCAGGGGAGAGCGTATGCACCGAGGCCCCGGCCCAGGCTGGGGGCTGGTCAGGGAGGGGGGGGGAGGGGAGGAGGAAGAGGAGGAGGAGGAGGAGGAGGAGGAGGAGGAGGAGAGGAGGAGGAGGAGGAGGAGGAGGAGGAGGAGGAGGAGGAGGAGGAGGAGAGGGTTTGGCCTGAGCCCGCGCGCACAGGGCACACCCGATACCGAACTTTACCCTCACAGGTCTGACCCCAGGCGTGCATTGTTGCCGCGCGTCGGCGCTCCTCGTTTTCGGCGGCCACGGGCGACGAGGCAGAGGCCTCCTGGCATAGGCGAGCGAGGCGTGCGCGCTTGTGGGCACGCACCTTGGCCCGCCTCGGCCAGGCCGCAGGACTACTCGATGCGCACCATTCATCAAGCCGAGGCAGAGAGGACCGAATGGGTTGGAGACGAGATGGGTCTAGAGGAGCAGCAGCACGCGGTGCAGCGGTGCGTGCTGATGCATCAGGCCCAGCAGGAGCTCCACGATTCTGGAATCCATAAGATCGGCCTACTGCGCCTTGGCGAACGCAGCAAGCCGGCAGAGGCAAAGGAGCAGGTGCAAAAGGGAAGGGCCACGGAGGAACGACCTGGTTGCTTGAGAGGGACTGGACCTACGACCCCAGCTACGAGGAGGCGACCCAGTACCCGAAGCAACCCAAGGTCAAGCCGAAGGGCCCGCTCTGGAAGTGCGCCCACTGTGGATGTGGGAAGAACACCGAGGCAATGCAGCACTGCAAACATTGCGGCGAGGTCAAGTCTGAAGCGGCCTCCAACGCCCTCGCGATCCTTGGCAGTGGCCAGCAACATGCGATGCCAGGCATCCTGCGGGAACGGTCTGCCACCCCAGGAGCTGAGCATGGAGGACGAGGACTTGACCGTGATGCTGCAGGAGCTCGTACTCGATCAGTGTCGTTCGCGGACTCACCCAGGGCAGCCCCGAATGTCACGGAGAGCGAGCTCAAGCAACTCATCGATCTCACCGAGAGAGCAGGAGACGCTGAAGGCAGCAGAAGGTATAAGGAGCAGCTCCGCAAGATGCAGGAGAGCTGCGTGGTCCCGCCGTTGCAGGAGCGCGCCTCCGCCTTGCACGCGCAGATCCAGCAGCTTGAGCGCACCTTGGGGACGGAACTGGACAAACTTGATCGCATCAACCACCAGGCCTCGTTGCAGCGCCAGACAGTCCAGGAGGTGCGCGAATCTTTGGGCGAGGCTGACTCGCTGCATCGCAACCTCGTGGCTGAGCTGGCCCAGCAGGGGGGAATTTCTTTGGCCAAAGGTGGACCAGCGAAGATCCCGATCTCCAAGGTCGTGGACGGCACAGCCGAGGCGGCCGAGCTGTTCGACGCCGACGAGTTCTTCAATGCCGATGAGTACACCCTTACCGACGACGACAAGGAGCAGCTGGCCGAGAGAAAGACGGCGCTCAACCTACAGGCACAGACCATTGCTAAAGATCTTTTTGCTGGCGCAGTTGGCGATCTGCAGCGCATCAAGGCCGAGCACCTGGAGCATCTGCAGCGGATGCGACGGAAGCGACCTCGGCGAGGAGAGACGACCAGACAGGAGCAGCCGCAGGAGGTGACGGAGGGCCTGGCGCAGGACAGGGCGGCGGCGTGGCTGCTGCGGCCACAGCTGAGGCTGCCGCCCCTGAGCCCCCAGGCCAGCCAGTCAAGCCAGAAGCCGCCGCCCCAGATGAACCCAAGGGGCCTCCTGCCCCAGGGACTCCTGGCTCGGGATCGGCCCCACAGGTTCCCGCTTCCCAGGGGGGCGCCTCCTGTGCCAGGGGCGGTGGCTCGGCTGACCCAGTGCATGCAAGTGCAGGGGTCCGCCAGAGAGCGGCTGCCGCGCTTGGCAGGCCAGAAGGAACGTCCAAGGGCGATCGGTCTGGAGCTTCCTTGCCACCTGTCTGTAGCCAAGCTACCCCCCTTGCCCGAAGTCGGAGACCTTAGGCAAGGGGGGGTCCATGACATACAACAACTTTTTACATGTAATTTGCTGCCCTTCGAAGCCTTACGCGTTGTGCGCGAGCATAGGTTGCAGCACAGGCACGGACAGGATCTGGCTAAGTATATCCAGGATGTCTTGGGAGGTTTGCACTTGGGCGAGAGATCTTGTGACTCCCCCCCAGACCTCCGCGTGTGATACTGTCGCAGCTGGCGCGATTCCGCCAGAACCCGCTGTTTCATTTAAACCTGCCCCCACACCCATTTTCCAGCCTGCCCCCGAGCAGGCCCCTGTTAGTAGCAAGCGTAGTAAGGGTCGTTTCAAAATCGAAACAGCCAACACCACGTCTTGGAAGTCTGCTAAGAGATACTTGGAGAGACGGACGCGAGCCTGGCGATGCTCCAGGAGATTTCTACCGAAGCAAAGGACCGCAGGGAACACGAAGCAGCGGCCAAAAAGATGAACTGGAACATGTGCCTCCATCCCTCTGTTGTGACGGAATCAGGGGGTATCAGCTATGGTGTTGTTGCGGCCTCATTGGCCCACATCGGTATGGGGGGGGGATACCTGAGCAGCCTCGGCCTCTGTATGTGCCGTCGCGAGTGTGTCTTACCTAGGTGAATGCCTTCATCACTGGAGGCTTTGTGGCGGGGCCCGCGCAACTCCCACAGAGGTCCCCCCTGGGCCCAGAAGGCTCACAGGCGCTGGCCCGTCTCGGCGAGATCCTCCATGCACTGGGACTCCCATTTGCTCTTGCAGGAGACTGGAACGTGGAACCGAAGGAGTTTCACGCCTTCGGCTGGGCGCAGAAGATTGGAGGCGTGATCGTGGCGCCGCAGCAGGCGACGTGTCGGTCTACGGCTAAGCAGTGGCGGGTTCTAGTTTTTTTTTCGTTTTATCGCGAGGACTCGCACCATGCGTTCACCAGTGCACGAGGAACGAGCAGGCGACCACTGCTCCGCACTGGCCAGTTACTTTAGTTCTGCAAGGCGACCCGATGGAAGCCAAACGTTGATTGCTGCCTAGGATGATCAAGTTCCCCACGGAGTTGCCAATTGGACCTCGGCCCCAACCTCCTGATTATCAAGCCTCACTAGAGCAAGCTGAGGCCCGAGGGACCCCCGAGGAGCTCAATTGCGTTTTCTTGGATGTCCTGGCTTCCTTCGAGTCGGAGGTGTGTGACATTTATCAAGTTCCTAGAGGCAAGTATGGAGGCCGAGCCCACCAGAGTAAACTGGTTCAAGTCAATTCACTACGGACGGCTGGTGGTGCTTACCCCATTGCGTGTCCAGAGAGTAGGTCTTGGAGGAGGGTCTCTGTTTGGTTTCAGGAGTTGCACCATGCCAAGGCCAGTCGGACTCCTGGGGCTCCAGAGAGACTCATGACCTCATCAAGCGAATACTGGCTGGTCCAGGGAATCTTCGGAAGCATCCTGATTGGTTATCTTGGAAGCCGACCTCGCCCAGTGACCTGCTGTGCTGCTCCGGGTCGGGCTTGCTGGCCTGGCAGCATGAAGCAGGACTTTGGGCTGAAAGGTTGGAAAAGAAGTTCTCAAGTAGGAGAGCTGCTCAGTGGAGAAACTGGGTAGCTGAGGCGGTCAAAGGGGGGGCTGGCCAAGCACACCAATACACCAAGACCCCGCTCGGATGGAACCCCAACCAATCCATCAAGCCAGGCCAGCCCCCCCCCCCCCCCCAGGGCCCAGTGATTTGATTCAGGAACAGGAGGACCTTTGGAAAGGCATATGGCGCCCATCGCCAGCTGCCAGCAAGCTTCCTGACGCGATTGGCGAGCTCGAACATTTGATCGCAGCGCAAGAGCATGAAGGTCGATATATTTTTCCACCCTTTGCGTCGGCTGGTGACATCAGGCGAGCAGCAGGCAAGTTCAAGCGCCGGACTGGCCTAGGAGCGGACTCTGTGCACCCACGAGACGTAGGTCTTGTTTGCGGTGCTGCACTTACCGTTCTGGGGCTGCTCTGGCATTGGGCTGAACGTCTTGGGCAACTTCCTTCTCAGTTAGCTTTGAACCTCATAGTCTTATTACCCCGGCCTGACCATGGGTTTAGGCTGATTGGTTTATTACCAGGGATCTGCAGGGTTTTTGGAAAGCTTAATCGACCTGAAGCTGACCAGTGGGAAAGTCGTGAGGTTCGAGATTTTCACTACGGGTCCCGTGGCCGCAGTTGTGAAAGAGCTGTCTGGGAACAAGCCCTATCTGGAGAATTTTCGAAGCTGAATAATATCCCCTCGGCGGCTGCTCTTATAGATTTAACTAAGGCCTACGAGAAGGTTAGCCACTATTTACTGGTGCAGGCGGCTATAAAATATAATTTCCCGCTCGTGAGGCTGCGCCTTCTACTCCGCCAATATCGAGCAGCTAAGCTGTTGCAGATAGGTGGCATGGTGTCGAATGTTATTGAGGTGTGGCAAGGTATTGTTGCTGGATGTTCGTTTGCCACGTCCCTTAGGAGGCTTATCCTTCTAGCGCCGTGCGATGCCGCCCGTCTGCATTGGCAAAGTGTCAGAATTGTCAACGTGGTCGACGACCTTACCCTATTCGCCTCGCTGGTGGCCAATCGGCTCGGCGCGATCATTGGCAGTGCGGCGGCATTCATCTGTCTGCAGCTCGAGAAGCTGCAGCTGATCGTGTCTAAGGATAAGGGCGTCATCATGTCAACTAACTCGGAAGTTGCAGCTGTGATCCAGAGGAGATTACAGAAATGGGATTTCGTGATTACTAAGTCGGGTAAAAATCTCGGTATTGATCAGAGTTTGACCAAAGGCAGGAGAGCCACCAAGGTTCAGACGGGTCGGTTTGCTACGCTCCGCCCCAGGCTGTCCCGTTTCAGAGGACTCAGGAGTTCGTTCAAGGGTTCCGCGAAGGTTGTCCAAGTGGGGGCTCTCCCTTCGGCGCTCTATGGGACCTCGGTGGTGGGCCTCTCCAACAAGAAGCTGGTTGAACTGAGGGCCATGTTCGCCCAGGCTGTTTTTGGTACTCCTAAGGGGCGCTCGAGGACTCTGGAATTCCTTCTTGGGCCTGACCCTGGAGGCGATCCAGAATATGCTGCAAATTCTGGGCCTATCGTGATGTGGATCGCGGCGTTGCAGCAGCACTGGGCCCCCGAGTTGCACCTTAAGACCTGTTTTGATAATTTTCAAGCCATTCCTGACCGAGGATGGGAACACGTTCAAGGACCCGCTAGCGCAGTTGTGTGCACTCTGGATAGACTAGGCTGGACCATCAAGTCTTGGGATTCCTGGGAGACGGACCAGGGGCCCCCTGTGAGCCCGAGGTACCACGGCAAGAGGACGTTCAAGAGCGTCATCCAGGTGAGCACCCAGCGCTGCCTCATCAAGAGTTTAGGGGGACCCCAAGGCAAAGTCGAAGGCCTACCAGGTGCACCCTGCTTGGAGCCGCTAGTCGCTATGTGCCGAGACCTTCGAACGCATGGCCGAGGTGATTCGGCAGGCCGGCTTGCAATTGCAGCGTCAGGAGGCTACGCAACCCAGCACGAGCTTTTTTCTGACAGAAGAGTTGTTGACGGCCATTGTCAGTGGTGCAAGCGTGCGCTGGGCACTAAGTCTCACAGATTCTACGACTGCTATGCGCAGATGCTCTTCTTGAGTAGCCTGGATTTGGACGAACACCTCGATGAGGCTAGGCGTGCTGATGAGTATGCTGTAGGCTACACAAGATGCCTTTTCGAAAGTCCTGAATGGCAGTGGCCAACCCCGTTCATCAAGGCGGAGCCTCGGTGGAGTTGCGTCCCACGAGGTGGACTGCTGGACTCAGGCTACATATGTCTTGACGGCTCGGGTTTGGACCAAGATAGTATGACGTTTGCTCGAGCAGGGTATGCAGTTGTGGGGCTAGATGAAGGGGGTAACATCCACGGCAGTTTGTACGGTCCTCTCCCGCACCTCCTGCAGCTTGCAGGATGTGGTGAAGTGTATGCGCTGCTGGTTGCTCTCAGGCATTTGGGTGCAACCCCAACGGTAATTGCCACCGACTGTAAGATGGTGCTCGACATTTGGAATGCTGGACCAGGACAAGATTTAACGAATACCTGTTTTTTTTGTTTTTTTTCAGAACTGTGGCATGATATCTTTCGGGTTGCTGAAGACATCGGCATATCTAATATTAGTTTGACCAGAGTTAAATCGCATTTGAGCCGCACGGCGGCACTGGATGCAGGTATGAGTTATTGGGCTTGGTTCGGCAATCGTGAAGCTGATAGACTTGCCAAAGTCGGAGCCAGCGCCCAGGCTAATCTTCCTTTCGTGCGAGCCCAGTGTGATCTAGTAGCTCGTAAAGTGAAGAGTTCAGCGATCGTGGTCTCGGGGATCCTCGACCGTCTTGCCAAGCAGAATTTCCCAGATGTCATGACATATCGTAAACCCGTACGTGCCAAACATCCACTTCTCGAACTGATTCCTGATCCCTTGGGCCACCAGCTAGCCAGAGTAGGGGAAGGTTTCATGTGCGTTTGGTGTGGGGACAGGGGGGCCTCGCGTAAAGCTATTTGTGTAACCCCTTGTTCTGGACTCCCCAGAGCTTCCCGCACCTCCCACCCTTCCCATACTCTGTGTGTGGGGAGTGGAAAGGTGACTTGGTGTGTCAAATGCGGAGCTTTTGGGAGCGTGAGGTCCAGGTTTTTGAAGGATAGATGTTTGAAAGGACCTCAGAACAAGGACGCTGGATATTCCCTTGCCTTGTTGAAGCAGGGTATCGACCCGTCCAGCGGCAAGTTTTTCGGTCAGAGTTTCCCTGTGGACGAGCTGCTGGCTGAGGCTCCGCCGCCGCCCCGAGGCCGCTGAGCTCGCCAGGCAGCTAAACTCGTCTTTTCTTTTCTTCTCTTTGTTGCGGGAGTGTCATTACATTTCTTGTTGCACAGGAGGTGACTCTCTCTTAACGCCGAAGGACGCCGAAGGAGGAGGAGGAGGAAGAGGAGGAGGGGCGGAGGTCCAGTTACCCGGCGCCCGCTCCCAGGAGGCGGCGGCGGCCACGCGGGCGCAGCAGGTCGATGCCAGCCTCGCGGATCTGGCCGTGCGCGCCGAGGCGGCCGCGGAGGGCGCGCGGTTCTGCAGCCGGCGCGCGAAGTGGCTCGAGGCGGCGGCGGCCGGGAGCGAGGAGGGCCTGAAGGGCCTGCAGAAGGCTCGGGGCGATCGGAGGCGAGGTGCTCTGGACGTGGCATTTTGTATCGGGGGGGGGGGGGGACCTTCCGGCGGAGATCTTGCCCATCCCCCCCCCCCCCCGCCCCGTTCCGGCAGCGCGTGCCCGACCCCCCCCCCGCGGATCCAGGAGGAGTATGCAAAGGTGGTATACAAAAAGGCAGGGGCAGACAGAGTTCTGCATCATGTCTTGGCCATGTTTCAGAATTGTTCGACATTTGTTTATTTTGTCACCCAAAGTCCGCCTGCAGGGGGACTTGCCCGACCTAAATCCAAGGCGGGCCGGGGGCTGATTTGTTGCCCCGTCCAGGGTATGGAAGGACTTGGGGGCGAGCGCAGGCCAACAGCAGTTCCTGCCCCTTTCGGACACGGCCTGCCGTCGGCGTGCTTAGCCATGGGCGTCGTCCGTGCCAGCTAGCGCTGGGCATCGGGCCCATTGTTCCGCACCCATCTCTCAGGCATTGGACAAAAACGTCCGGGCTCGCCTATAGGCCCACCAAAGAAGTTTCTCCTAACCTTTGGTTGTTAGCACTAAATGTTTTTAGAGGATGTCTGGCTGAGACTGTATTGTTTTATCACATCTGGTCCGCGTTCTAAGAACAGTGTTTGTGTTATCAGAATGCTGATGGGTTCCAAGCTCCTTTCGTTGTAGGCCTTTAGGAATGCCGAGACGGTCGGCCCCTGCTCAACTCTCGGCTATACGCAAGAGTGACCTTGGGTAAGAGTGACCTTTGGTGCGCGGCTTTCTGGGTGCCGCGGGGGGACCAAACCTGGGCGCGCAAGCAGCTGCTACTGTTCCGTTTTCAGCCACCTGGGGACCCATCTGTGCCCGCTCCAAAGGTCACTCCTGCGAAAGGTCACTCTTACTTCTAGTCGAAGCTCTCGCGCGTCCAAGAAGGCCATTCAGGAGCGCGCGGGCCTGCAGGACCTCCAGAAGCTCCGCGGGGAGGTGGCCGCGGCACAGGCGGCCGCCCTGCAGAGCAAGGCCCGCGGCGAGCCCGCACCGCCGGGCGGAAGGTCAGAAGAGGAACAGGTACCCATACGGTAAATCGACAAAACGTTGCACCACCTGGCGCTGACAAGAAATCGCATCGCTGTTCTATCAATCGTTTGTTTCCCCCCCCTCCCCCCAGATCTCAATATTGGGTTCGGTCCGGGCTGGTCGAAACAGCTCGGTGGTGCAACGTTCTGTCGGGAGCCCCCGGGCGGAACAGGGGCTCTTCGCCATGCACCCAATATGAAGGTCGGGGGGAGGGGGGGCAAGAGGAATGCAGTATAGGTGCCAATGCACAGCAAAAGTGATGCAACATGTTGTCGATGTACGGTGCCTCTATCCTTCCCTCGTTTTCCCCCTTTTTGGGCCTCCTGGGAGGCCCTCGTCGCCACCGCCGGATGGTCAGAACGCACCCCCGGAGAGGTCCGCGGGGCAGCGGTATCGGTACCTTGTCCGTTTCCCCGGGGATGGGCAGGATCGATCAGGCTCTCTTGGGCGCCGCAGGAGGGCCGGGCCGAGAGGCCTCTGGCCGAACCTCGGGGCGCAAGAGACGGGTGTCTATGCACATCTATGCACACGGGGGTCCGCCAGGGCGCCCGATTTTGCAGGATCCTGCAGAGCCAGGGCTGCACTGACCCGGGTCTGGGCGACGGTCTCTGCAATGTTTGGCAGGATCAGGGCCTGATTGACCCGGGTCTGGACTGACCTGGGTCAGCAGGGCCCCGAGAACCCGGCCCGAAGGACTGGGCAGGAATGCGTCCGTGGGGCCCACGAGGCGGCGGTGACTGTGCTTCTGCAGATTGCACGTCGTAGTGATCCAATGGCGCCGACGTCGTGTTATGGCTTTTGGTGACACTGCGTGCCAAGTACTTGTTGGCGCCTCCCTCCAATGCCGGTCACCGTGGGACGTCCGAGTCACATCCGTTCAGACCACGTCTCTCCCTGCCTCGACATAGAAGGGGGGCGGCAGTGAAGGGGCGAATGGGGCAGACACTGCAGTGGGCATCCTCCATGTTTGAGGTTAGTTCTGGTCGTCGTAGTGAGGAGTGGCCGCCAAGTCTCACATGTGTTGGCTCGTTCGAAGCGAGCTGTGGTCGTTGCGCGCATCGTCTTCTGGCTGGCGGGGGGTGGGGCGGTGGGACCAGCCGGGAGGGGCGCGTGGAGTCATGGGTGGCCATGGAGGCGGTGACCAAGTGCAAAGAGGCATGGCACTTGCGTGGCACCCAGAGGCACCTGGAAACGACAGGGCAGTTTTTGTTGCTACCGCTTCAGTGCTGCACGTGTGTGTGTTTTCCCTGCAGTGCAGGTTTTGCCCCACTTCGTCGCACTTGCTTTTCCAGTTCGCTTCCGGCCCCAAATGCCGCAGCAGTCTTACCACCGTTTCGGGGAGCCGCTTTCCTACCTTTTCCCGCTGTCCAGGGGCAGTTACTCGCAAGCGGCAAAGGAACGCCCAGCCACTCCCGAGGCCCACGTAGGCTTGGGCTCCCCCCGTCAGGCAAGAATGCATCCAGAGGGGCCCGGTCGCCTGGGTCTCAACGGGAGCCAAACCGTGGTGCTGGCTCCTCCTCCTCCTCCTCCTCCTACTCCTCCTCCTCCTCCTCCTCTTTCTACTCCTCCTCCTTCTCCTCCCTTTCCTCTTCCTCTTCCTCCTCCTCCTCCTCCTCCTCCTCCTCCTCCTCTTCCTCCTCCTCCTCCTCCTCCTCCTCCTCCTCCTCCTCCTCCCTCCTCTCCTCCTCCTCCTCCTCCTCCTCCTCCTCCTCCCCCTCCCCCTCCCCCTTCTCCTCCCCCTTCTCCCGCCCCTCCTCCTCCTCCTCCTCTCCTCCTCCTCCTCCTCCTCTCCTCCTCCTCCTCCTCCTCCTTCTCCTTCTCCTCCTACTCCTCCTTCTCCTCCTCCTCCTCCGCCTCCTCCTCCTCCTCCTTCTCTTCCCCCTGAGCACATCTCCCCTGACGTTGTCCCTGGAGCTCTCCCTCCTCACACGCCCCACGAGCGGAACCGGAAAGGCTGCCTCTTCGGGCCGAGATAGGACGCCCAGTCCGTGGTCGATCAGGAAGAGGCGGTCGCGGCGGGCTTCTGCATGTGTTTGCAGCGCTCGCGCCCCGCTGATTAGCCCGTCGCTCCTGCCTGCGTCTGCGGGGCCGTAGGCGACTGGAAACTGCTTCTGCCCAGTTCCTGCGATAACCCAGGAGTATCAGGCCTGGCCGCTCCCCCCCCTCCCCCCCGCAGAGAGCTTGACCTTGCGTCCGTTGCGAAGGTTCGAAGGGTGTAATTACGCAGTGCTGGTGCGCGCGGTACGTGGGGCTGCCCAAAGCGAAAATGCTAGGCTATCGGCTGGCCCCCCCCACACCACCAGAGAACCCAGGCCACCGCCGAAAAATTAGCCTGGCGACGGGCCCAGCCATATGCACTGTCACTTGTGAATACCGCGATTGTGAATACCGTCTTCGCCCGCGCTCCCTATGTTGCCACGGCTTCCCGCCGGAGCCCGACATGCTCAGGAACACGTTCGCGGCCGTCTTCGCGGGCTCCGACGACGACAAGGACGGCGTCCCTCTGACCGAAGAGCAGAAGCAGGAGAGGGCTTCGAGAGTCATGAGGGAGGAGGTGGCGTTGCACGTCGACAAGGCGGAGTACGACGCCGACGCCCAGGCGCGGTTGTTGAAGCAGCACAGCGATGGGGCCACGATCCTCGTGAGGGGTGCGCCGAAATGGCCCGAGTCCGCCATGCGAGCCCTGCCACTGGAGCCTTCGGCGGAGCTCCCTTCGGGGCCACGATCCTCGTGAGAGGTGCGCCGACATGGCCCGAGGCCGCCGCGTGAACCATGCCACTGGCGCCTTCGGTGGAGCTCCCAATGTTGCCGCGATCCTCGTGAGGGGTGTGCCGACGTGGCCCGAGGTCGCCGCGTGAACCATGCCACTGGCGCCTTCGGCGAAGGTCCCTATGTGGCCACGACCCTTACGAGGGGTGTGCCGACATGACCCGAGGCCGCCATGCGAACACTGCTAGTGGGTGCTTTCGGCGGAGCTCCCAATGGGGCCACGATCCTCGTGAAGGGCGTTCCGACATGGCCCGAGGCCGCCGCGCGAACCCTGCCAGTGGGTGCTTTCGGTGGAGCTCCCTACGGGGCCACGATCCTTGCGAGGTGGCCCGAAGCCGCCGTGCGAACCCTTCCATTGGCGCCTTCGGTGGAGCTCCCTATGGGGCCACGATCCTCGCGAGAGGTGCGCCGAAACGCTCGGAGTCCGCCGCGCGAGCCCTGCCGCTGGAGCCTTCGGTGGACCTCTCTTCGGGGCCACGATCCTCGTGAGGGGTGCGCCGAAATGGCCCGAGGCCGCCGTGCGAACCATGCCAGTGGAACCTTCGGTGGAGCTCCCACTGTGACCACGATCCGCGTGAGGGGTGTGCCGAAATGGCCCGGGACCGCCATGCGAACCCTGCCAGCGGGCGCCTTCGGCGAAGCTCCCTATGTGGCCACGATCCTCGTGAGGGGTGTGCCGAAATGGCCCGAGGCCGCCGCGCGAACCATGCCAGTGGAACCTTCGGTGGAGCTCCCAATGGGGCCACGATCCTCGTGAGGGGTGTGCCGAAATGGCTCGGGGCCGCCATGCGAACCCTGCCAGCGGGCGCCTTCGGCGAATCTCCCTATGTGGCCACGATCCTCGTGACGGGTTTGCCGAAATGGCCCGAGGTCGCCATGCGAACCCTGTCACTGGTGCCTTCGGTGGAGCTCCCAATGTGGCCACGATCCGAGCTTTGTGCCGAAAGGGCCCGGGGCCGCCGTGCGAACCCTGCCACCGGCGCCTTCGGTGGACCTCCCAATGGTGCCACGATCCTTGCGAGGGGTGTGCCGACATGACCCGAGGCCGCCATGCGAACACTGCCATTGGAACCTTTGGTGGAGCTTCTTATGGGGCCACGATCCTTGTGAGGGGTGCCGAAATGGCCCGAGGCCGCCATGCGAACCCTGCTAGTGGGTGCTTTCGGTGGAGCTCCCTACGGGGCCACGAAGCGTTGTAGTGGGTGGGTGAAACGAGGGGAGGAGGAGAGGAGGAGGAGGAGGAGGAGGCGGGAGGGG